ACTTAATAATAAATAGAAAGTTTATTAATTAATAGTTATAAACTTATAATTAGTTTTTATTAAAGTTTTTATTATAATTTAATAAATATAAAATAGTTTAATTTATATAATAATTTTAATAATTTACTTAATTATTAAATTAAGTTTTTAACTTTTAATAAATAATTTAAAAGATTATTAATATTTATATATTATATATAAAATATTTTAACTTTTTTAATATATAAAATATTAGTTTAAATTAAATTAATATAATATTTATATTTATATAAATAATAAAAAAGATTTTTATTTTATTATTAAATATATTATATATTTTTTATTATATGTTTTTATTTTTATATATTTTATAAAGTTTTTAATAAATTAATTATTAATTTATTTATTTAATATTTTAAAAAAGTATAAAATACTTTTTTAATAGTTAAGTTTTTAAAAGGGGATTAATATTTTATAAGTTTTTCTTAATACTTTATTTTATAATCCTAAAGGTAATTTAAAGGGCTTAATAATAATAAAATTAAAAAAAGGTAGAATAAGTAATTTTACCTTAATATTATCCTTTTTAATACTTAATTTCTTTTAATTAAATAATATATAGATTTTATAATACCTTTTAATATTATAAGGATTTTACTTTTATATAAAATTTTATTTATTATTTTAAAAAATAGGTAGTTTTTAAACTTTTAAGAAACTTTTTTATTATAAGGATTTTAAGTAAATATAAATAGTATAGCTTACTTTAATTTTTAATAAAATATATTTAAATTAAAGGATTTATTTAAGCTTAATTATATTTATTTATTATTATAAAACATTTTTATTTTATTTATTAAAGTCTTTTTAAATTTTATAAAAGTATCTTTATTATTTAGTTATATATATATACTTTATATATAAAAGGATTTATATATTTAAATATATAATACTTATATTTAATAAAAGTAGAATTTTTATAAAATAAAATTATATAATTTAATTATTATTTAAATAATATATATTTTATTTTAATAATATTATATAATAATATTATTTAATAATAGTTTATATTAATATTTTATATAATTAAAGGTAAAAATAAATAATAATATAAAAAAATAGATATAATAAAATATTTATATATTTAATAAACTATATATAATAATTAGGAATACTTAGAATATTAATTAAAAAATTAAATAGTTATATATTAAATATTGTTTTAAAACTATTATAATATAATAATTGTTAAAAGTAATAAATTTTAAATAAATATTAAGTCTTTAATAAATTTATAACTTAAAGGTTATAAATTAAAATAATATTAAAAGAATAATTTAATTTAACTTTAAGGGCTTTTTTATTTTATATTAAATTAATAAAAATATTTAGTATAATTATAATTAAAATAAAAAAGCCTATTTTTTAATAAGTATTAAATTAATTTTAATTATATATTAATAGTAATAGTATTTTAATTATTAATTTATTTATTTTAAGTAAAAGGAATTTAGTAATAATAGTATTATTAAAGGTAATAAATATAAAGAAAGAAAGAGATAGAAAAGAATATAAAAGAAAGAGTTATTATAATTATATTAATAGGTATAATTATATTCTACTTAGTAGTATAAAGGTATATAATATATTTTAATTTTTTTTATTATAATAAAGTTTAGTAAATAAATAAAAAAGGAGAATTAAATAGGTTGTTTAATATTTAATATTTACTTATTTATTAAAAAGGTTAGCTAACTAATAAAAGTAATTATAAGTTATATGTTATACTTTTAATTAAGGTATTACTTTAAATATAAATAGTTATTAATAAGGAAATTAAATAGATAAATTTTAAATTTTTAAAGATATTAATTTATTTTATAAGGTATTTATTAAAAATATAAGTAAAGTTTAATAAAAGAAGGTTTATAAATAAATTTTAAATCTTTTAAAGTATAATAAAGTATATAAAGTAATAAAAAAGGTTTAAGGACTTTATTAATATATATTTAATTATTTTTTTATTAAATTAATAGCTTTATAATAGGTAAATATAAAACTTTATTATATTTAATTATATTATTATTATTAAAGTATTAATATAATTATATTATAGTAAGAACTTATAAAGAATTTAATTATTTTAAAATAATTAATTATCTCTTTATACCTTACTATTTATAGTTATTTAAAATAACTATTAATTAGTTAGTATATGTTATTATATATATATATATAAAAGTAGTTTATTAGTTAAGTTAAATTATATAAAAGGAGGAAGTTAGGTTTAAGGGTTAATTATAAATTCTTATTATAGTCTATTAATTAGGGTTATATAATCAAACTATTTATTAGTTATAATTATCTTTATTCTATAATATTAATATTATATATTAAAAAAAATAAAAATTAAAAATATTAAAAATTAATAAAATAATATTATAAAAGAAATTTAAATATTTATTATATTTTATATTAAATTAATTAAGATTATTTTATTTTATATTATTTATATAATATTATTTTAAAAATTTTAAAATAAAAGTTTTATTTTTTTCTTTTTTAAATTAAAACTATTTTATAAAGTATTATATATTAAAGCTTTATATAAATTATTATAAATATATTTATATTTACTTAAAGTTCTATAATAAAATTCTATTTTATTTAAATCTATTCTTAATTATTTATTAAAATTTTCTTTTATTAACTTAATAAATATTTAAATTAAAAACTATCTTTAATTAGTTTTTTAAATTCTAACTATATAATATACTTTATTAATAATTTACTATCTACTTAAAATATTTATAAACTAAATACCTTTAATAATTAATTATTAAATTAAATAATTTAATTTAAATATAAAAATATAAATAAATATTAATTTTTAATATTAATAATATATTCTTTTAAATTTAATAAAATAATAATACTTTTAAAGTATTAAAGTTATAATATAATATTTATTATTATAAAAATATTAAAATAATTATATCTTAAATAATAAAATATATATTAATAAAGTTATTAAATATTTATAAATAAAGCTGAATAATATTTATTTAAGTATTTAAAACTATAGTAAACTACTTATAGATTAATAATATAAAATATTATAAAAATAAAATAAATTATGTATTTATAATATACTAATATTCTATAGTTTTAATCTTTATTAAATATACTTTACCTTATTATAATACTTTATTTAATTAAATTTATTTAAATATTCTTATAAATAAAATATTATAAATTAATATAAAGAAAATTATAACTTATTATATTTTAATTAGTTATATTTTAATATAAACTTAACTTATTTAAATATATATAAATATAAACTATTTTATTTTTTAAATAAACTATATTTAATAAAATAATTAAATTAAATATTATTTTATAATTATATTTTAATTTTAAATTAAATAATTATTTATAATAAAATAATATAATTTAAATATTTATAAATTATATAATATTATTAATATTTAAATATATTTTAATTAAAAGTTTTATAATAATTTTCTAAATAAAACTTTTATTAAATATAAAAGGTATATTCTTATAAATATTAATTAACTTATTATTTTATAATATATTTAATATATTAATTTAATATATTTTTAACTTTTATATTTAATTATAATAATACTTTTATTATAATAATTACTTTTTAACTTAATATTATATTATAATATTATAAATTAATAAATATAATATTTATTAAATTATTATTTTATTAATTTTAAGTTTATTATTATATAAATAGTTAATATATAGTTTAATATTTATATTATAATTCTTTTATATAATATAATATATATATTATAATTATAAAACTATTTATTTTAATATTATTTAAATAAAATATTTTTATTTTATATATTATATTATAAAAGTAAATAACTTCTTTATATAAAGTTATTAAAAAATCTTTATTAATATAAAAGTAAAAGTTATTAATATAAACTAATTTTATAAATTATATTTAAAAGCTTATAAATTTTTAAAAAATAAATACCTTTTAAATTAATTAATAAGTTTATTTAATATATTTCTATATTTAAATATTTAATTAAATTTATTTAACTTAATATTATATTTAAATATATTTTTAAATTATTTTTATATAATTAATTTTCTATAAATAATATTTAAAATATTTTTAATAACTTTTAATAATAAAACTAATTTTATATTATACTTTTATTATAAAATTAATATAAAAAAATATATTTATTTATTATAATTTTTATTTATATATTATTATGTTTATATTTATATTTATAATTTTATTTCTTTTAAATATAATAAAATTTAAACTTTTATAACTTTTATTAAAATAAATTAATTAAAGTTTAATAATATTAATAAAATTAATTATTTTATTTATATTAACTTTTATATTTAAAGTATTCTTTATATTTTTAATTATTTAAAACTAATTTTTAAAAAACCTTTTTAAACTTTCCTTAAAGGAAAATAAGAATTTAAGTTATAAAATTAAATATTTATACTTAAAGTATATATATATTTATTATTAATATTTAAGATACTTCTTTAAACCCTCCTTAAAACCCTCTTTAAAACCCTTTTTAGTTATTTAGTAAAATTAGAATTTAGGCTACGAAAAGGTCGTATATAGCTATTAGGAGGGCGTACAAGCCTCCACAAGAGAATTCGCAGTTCTGTGGCGCTTCCGCAAGATCACGAATCTCCCAGCTGAAAAGTTCTCTGAGGCGGGGGTTAGCATGGGTCATGACAATAATATACGTCTCGAGGCACAGCGATGGGTCTGACAGGGGCGCTGGCTCAGCAAACCAGACAAGCTCTTCCGAGTTGGTGATCAGCCCACCAGGGTGGCCCGGAGGCAGCCTCGCGCTCATTTGCCATCGGTTGAATCTCGTTCCGCCCAAAAAGTCGGGACTCGGCTCCAATCTCGAGCTTAGTCGAGGCCCATTGTACAACACAGTGACGTTGTAGCTGCGGCGGTTGAAGAGGGCGGCCTCGAGGATCTCGATCCAACCCGGCATTGCAGCGCTAGGTACATGTATCAAGCTCGCCCCGGGTTTCAGCCTTGCAATCTCATGGCGTGTGGCGCCATCGGGCACACAGAAGCAAACAACATCCTGTGGGCGATCCCTCGATGTTGGACAGTCTTGACCCCCCGGGGCATTCCGAGGGTGATGTTCCAATCTTTGTGCGTTTCGAGAGCTGGAACCCTTCTTTGATGAAGTCCTGCGCTTCTCCACCTCCTCCCACTCACGTTCCACCCTTCGCTTGCTCTCAAATAGAAGTGCACGGATCACCAAACTAGCAAGCACGATGATTGACTTGCCAGATCCCATTGCAGACGCCAGTAACCCCCCAGCAAGGCCTGTCGTATCATATTGGAATAGAATCTGACATGCTCGAACAAATTGATGGGGTGTGATCGCCAGTGCGCAGTGCCGGAAGTGGATGGAGCGTTCGTTTGCGGAGTGTTGCCTGTAGTCAATATGTGGGAAAAGCTGTGCGAATCTTTGGAACAACCGTGCCTGGTCATGGTCGATATCAGCTTGTGGCTCAGGCCTTTGGCCCGTTGTGGCCAGTAAACTCGTTAGGTAGTCCTCTTCATCGAACGTGGATGCCAGTTCCGTCAGCACAGTATGCTGCTCTGGGAATTCACGTGGAGACACGATATCCTTCACTGTACCGGCGACATTTTTGACAGCGATCGTGAGCTTGCTGACAGCCTTCTTGCCACTCTCGAATGTTTTGGTCCTTTTTGGCTGGACCCGAAGCATCGGGTCACCTGGAGAGGTGGCATAGGCGCGATTTGGCTCAGGCCCGGTAGTAGCCTCCAGCCCCCGAGGCACCGAGTTTTCGGGATAGGTGGGATAGGTATGATCTGGCTCAGGCCCAGTAGGAGCTTCCGGAATGTGCGAGGGTGAAACGCCCCCTTTAAGGTTGTCAGGGAAAAATGGCACATTAAAATCCTCTCGGAAGTGGCCTGCCCTAGGCACGTAATCCGAGCGTCTAAATTCAGTAAAGAGGTAAAGAACAGGACAGTCCAACGGATACTTTTGGAATAGATTAAAGTGGTCCAGTATTGCATTATATCTCCCTTTTTATATACTAAATTCTAATTTTCTTTTATTTAAGGAGGAGTCTTTAAGGAGGATAGTAGAAGATGTTTTAAAAGTTAAACTTAAATAAAGGTATCTTTTAAGTTTTAAATAGTATTATAATTAATTACCTTTAATTAATAAAGTATTATTAAATATAGTTAAATGTATTATAATAGCTTTAAACTTATTAATAGTTAGATTTATTAGGAATGTTTAAGTTATTAGAAATAACTATAATGAAAAAGTTATTATAAGATTTATAAATATTTAGATATAAGTTAATATTATTTTAGATTATTACTTTAAGAAGAAGATTACTTTAGAAAGATTATTATTACTTTAAACTACTATTTTAGAGATATTATTACTTTAAAAAGATAGAGATGTTTTAGCTTTAAATAATAGCTAATAGTGAGTTTAAATGTTTAAGATATCCCTATTAGAAGGTTTACTTTTTAAGATTAGAGGATTTTTAATAATATATTTAACTTAAATATTAAGAATAAGTATTTAAGCTTAACTATAATTTAACTTTAATATTATTTTATTTAATATATTATAGATTTTAAATAGTTTTTTTAATTTTAAGTTAAAAATATTTACTATTTTTAATAAAAGATTAATAAATATAAAATTAACTTTAAATTAGGTTAATAAAACCTTCTTTAAGTAGTAGAATTATTATATTATTTTATTTTATAATATTTATTTAGAGTATTTACTTTTAAATTTATTAAAGTTAAAGTATTAGGTTTTATACTTTTAACTATTTTAAATTTAAAGTTATTATTTAAACTTTTAAATAAGTTTTAAGGTTTAATTTTATAAGTATATATTAATAGGATTAATTTAGATTTAAAACTTAAAAACTTTATTAAAATAAAATTAAAGTATTTATAATTTATTATAATATAGAATATTATATAGCTTAATATAAATTTATAGTTTTTTTATTTAAGTTAATTATATTTAATTATTATTTAAGTAGAAATTAAGTAGTTTAAGAATTTTCTATTAAAAATACTATTTTAACTTTAAAATTAACTATATATATAAGTATATAAAAATATAAGTAGCCTTTATATATTAAGGGAAAGAGTAGGGGGTTTTATTTAAGACTTTATTTAACTTTAAGTTGAGGGAAGTGGCCTTTTTTTAGTCCCTCTTAGAATTAAATTTATAAGGATTAACTTATTTATAACTCTTTTAAAAGGGTATTCTTTATATATTATTACTTTTTTAATTACTATTAAAGGAGTAAAGTTAGGATAAAGTTTTTAACTTTATATTATTAATATTATTATTTAGTATTTATAAGTTTTATATAATAATAAATTAATAATATAGAGAATTTATTAAAGATTTTAAGTAATATTTTTAAATATAATAAGTTTTATTTAAATATATTAATATATTTTAATTAGGTTAAGAAGTTAATATATATTTATATATTTTATTTAAATAAGATATTATAATTTATATATTTAGTTATTAAATTAATTATTAAAATCCTTCTTTTAATATAAGTATTAAAAATATATATAAAACGTTTAATATTAAAATTATTAATAATATCTTATTAAAAGTATAGTATTTAACTTTTTTACTTAAAATTAATATATTATTTTAATTTTACTATTTAAGATATTATTTATATTTTAAGGGTTATTATATATAATTATATTATTAATTTTAGGTTAATTTTTAAGGTTTAATATAAAGGAATAAAACTTATAAAGACTTTTAAAATAGCCTTAAAAAAATATTTTAAGATATATTTTAAATATTAATTTTAACTTTATAAAATAGGTATTTTATTTATATAGGAGGGTATTTTTACCTTTATTATAAGGGTACTTTTATAGCTATAATAATTAATAAGTTACCTTAATATTTAAGTTGTTTTTATAATTTAAAGAATAAGGTAGTAAAATAAGATTAATAGCCTTAAGAATTTATTAAAGTTTAATTAAGAATATATATTATAAAATAATTTAATTTAAAATATTATTAGAATCTAAATTTTTAAAGATAATATTATTAAAAGATTATAAAATAAATAGATAGTTATTTTTATTAAAGAATATTAAGATATAAAATAAAAGCTTTTTATAATAACTTTATTAATAGACTATTAAACTAATTTATAGGAATTAGATTAGAATATAAATTTAGAATTATATATAACTTATATAATACTATTAACTTATATATTAACTTATTATAAATTTTTATACTTTTAATAGATATAAGGTTTTTATTATTAAGCTAGATAAGTTAGAACTTAGATTTATTTATTATTATTTATTAAAGAATCTTTATATTATATTAACCTCTTTAAATATATTAAAGAGTTATTACCCTCTTATAATATTTATTTTATTATTTTTAAATATACTCTTTAAAGAGATTATAAGGAACTATAATATATTTATTATACTTTATATAATATTACCTATCTTTAAGTATACTATTTTTCTAGCTTTATACTTAAAGGTAATATTATTAAATAAATATTTTAAACTTAAAGATAAGTTTTAAATTACCCTAACTAAATATAGGAAGCTTTTTATTTAAAGGTAAATAAACTTAAGGAGACTATTTTATTTTAATATTTTAACTTTAACTTTAAATTTTTAAGTTATTAACTTTAAATATTATTTTTACTATCTTTAGATTTATAATATTTATTAGAATAAAGGTTTAATTATAAAAACCTAATAAATTTAACTTAAAAGTATCTTTAATATAAAGAAAGGTTATAGAATTTTTAAAGTATTATATATAAATATAAGTTTAATTAGTTATATAACTCCCTTTAGTTAAAGAATACTTAAGGAAACTTAGTGTTTTATTATTTAATTACTTTTCTTAAACTTATAATAGATTTAATATTATTAAATAAACTAAACTTATAAAGACTAACTTTAAGTTTATATTTATATAAATAATAATAAATATAATAGAGTATATTTAAAAATACTTTTATAATTTAAATAAGGATTAATATATTAATAAAGTTATATATTTTATATAATATATTTATATAAATAGATATTATAAATATTATAACTATTTAAAAGTAAGTTTACCTTATTATATTAATTTACCTACCTATTAATACTTAAAATAGGAGTAATAATATAAGAAATATATTAAGTCTAGATATTTTATTACCTATAATAATATAGGCTTTAAGATTATATTAATTCCTAGTTATCTTTTTTTCTTATTATTTTACTAGAATAATTATAGTATTAGCTTTAAGATAAGCTTTATAGATTATCCTTTAATAGACTTAGTTAATTAGTAGGACTTAACTTATTATAATATATTATAAAATATATAGATAATAAATTAAATAGTATTTAACTTATTTTAAAAAGAGTAGAATAAGGTTTTTAAGTAGCTTAATAAGCTCCTAAGCTCTAATAATCCTATAACTATATAAGTAAGCTATAATAGTAGGAGGTTATAAAGTTTTAATAGTAATATTAATATTTTTATTAATAATATACTTAATAATTATATAAGGTAATAGTGGGGCTTTATAGCTAAGTTATTATTAAATAAGTATATAAAATATTTTTTAAAAGAAAACTTTTAGTTAATACCCCTAGATAATATATTTTTAGTAAGGGTTTATTATAATAAGGTTAGAAACTATAAAGTAAGGAAGGTAGAGGTAGGGATATAAGGGGTTCTTAACTTAGATCTTTTTAAGTATATAGGGAATATACTATTTAGTAATAGCTTAAAGTTTAATAATAAAAATATACTTTTAGATAGGTTTTTAATAGATAATAACTTTATAGTAATAGATAAGTTAATATGTGAGTATGTAGCTAAGTTTAAGGGCCTTTTAGGGTTTTAGTGGGCCTAGAATTCTATTAAGTATAGCTAATTTAATAAGAGGAGGAAGGTTAATACTTATATAGGTAATAGAAAGGATAGGAGTATTTATAGGGATTTAAATATAATTATAGCTTAAATAGAGATAGTTATTATTAATTTAATAGTAGAATAGATATATTACTTAATTTAATTTAATATTAACCTTTTATAAAACTAATTATTATACTATAAACGATAAATAAACCTTAAAGTCTTTTTTATTTATAAAAAAGGTTATTTAATATATAATAAGGGCTTTATAAAGCTATAAAAAGGGTTAATTATAAAGTTAGTTAAGTTTAATAGACTAAGAGCTCTATTTAATAGGGACCTTAATTTATTAATAAGTTTTATTTATAACGTCCTTATATATAAAACTATAATAATAGTTAAAATCTTAAATTTAAGATATATTTTTAAAGATTTAAATTATTATAAAAATTAGAGAATAATTATTAGTGTAGTATAATAAGATGGATAAGAGAATTTAGTTTAAAAAGAGTTTATTAAAGTTAAGTATATTAAAACTATAAATATAGCTAGATATATAAAAATATTAGAGAAAGTAAAGAGGTATTAGTAATAAGACTATATAATAGAGTAGTTTATTTAAGTATAGTTAGATTAATAAATATTTATTTAAGTTTAATTAAATTTATAAGTAGGTTTATCTTATTTATAGTGTTAATTAAAGGGTGTTTTAGGTTTATAACTTTAAGTGAATATACTTATTATATAGTTTAAAGAAGCTAAATATTTATGTTGTTAATTCTTGTTATATTATATGTTGGTGGGTATTAGAGATAGTTATTAGGGTTATTATTTATATTAGAAACCCTTTATTTATAAAACTAATTTTAAGTATATTTAGAGAGGAGAAAATATTAACTTTTAAGTAGTTAAATAGCTTTTTAGTAACTTTTTAATAATAATAAACTTATAAAGAAAAAATAAACTTATAATAAAGAAATAAATTTATAAAAGGACTTATAAAAGGGAAAAGGGTTGTAAACTTTAAAGGTACCTTTTTTTATATAAAAAGAGAAGGAGTATTTCCT